TACTATAAATGTATCTTACATGCACGTACATATTACATGCATGAGAAAATGATTTATATACAAGATAATTATTGTAGGAGTGTTTATAATGGTTAAAGATTGGAAACAACTGAAATGTTCATCCACAGCAACTGAATAAAAACACTGTTACATCTAGATGTTAGAAACTGTGTAGTGATAAAAAATATCAGTGAATCTCTTTATGTATTGTTTTGGAAAAATTGCCGGTATATGTTTAGTGAAAAATGTAAGGTACGGAACAGTGTATATGATATATTATTTGTGTTAAAGTGTGTGCTTGTTTATGAATAGATACAGCTTCTGGGGAGTGTAATTTGAATTTGAATACACCCCCACCACTTCTCAAAAAAAATTGCATTTAGCACAGTGCCTTGCACTTAGCACTTATGACACATTGTTGGTGGTGGTTATTTTCATTATAATTACAGGGTTCTTTTATTTCATGAGTTGATTTTTAACAGTTGGTTCTGGAAGAGGAAGCCTATCTCACTATAAATGCTGCTTAATGAGGGTCATACTCATGTTATTCATCAAAAATGCTGTATGTGCTTCCTGAAGTATGTTTCTTGGAGGATGTCAGTACAAGCTCCACAAACTAAAGATGTCAAATAAGATTGGGGAACGTTCAATAAAAACTGAGCGGGCTTCTTTCCTGAGATTTTCTTGGAGCCTTAATACACATAATGTGCTTTGTGAATATTCAAGAGGGATATTTAGAATGCAGTGTTTTCCAAATTTATTTGAATGCAGAACTTTGAACAGCAATGGTTACTCCTCCCCCCCCCCCCCCCTTTAAGAACTGACCTTTGAGTAGTTGTCACTTTGGGAAACAGCACTTTAATACTTAGATTTTGGTTTTGTTCACCTTCATTATTCATTTTAATAAACTTGTTTTTTTGATTCGTTCCTAAGATGCCTGTCCTCTCTCCCTGCCTGTTTTTCCTCCTCTGGGATATGCTGCAACTCACTAATTTATTTCTGGGTTAAGACCTTCCAAAAGTCATCCAACTTACGCTGGGTTTCTTGGGTAAAGAGGAGGCGCTATGTATCTAATGCAAAAATCTCAGGGATTGATTGAATGGAAATTGAAGATTGAAGCTTAATGTGTTTCAACCTTTCCCAAATGTTCAGGGTTGCTGGAGTGGAGGGGTGTGGGTGGGATGGGGTGGCTGGGGGATGGACATGGGGGAGGGTATGTGCTATGGTGAGCACTGTGAATTGTGTAGGACTGATGAATCACAGACCTGTAGCCCGGAAACAAATAATACATTATATGTTAATAAAAAAAAAGTTTTGCTGGTAAGGGAAAGGAATAAGATCAACTTAATGGGTAGTATAGTTGAGGAATTGTGAGCTTAATGTGGAGAAGATAACATCTTGTGGCTCAGAAGATATGGGACCTACCTCTGTCTTCACAGTTCCCAGCTATTCCCTCTTGAACAGGCCCCTTTGCCTCTTGTACTTCATTTTTATCATCTATGAATTCAGGGATTGGGTTTAAGTGCATCCATTTTAAGGCTGAGTTATTATATGCTTAATGGAATCAGTGAAGATTGTTAAGACCACATAGAACATTTTGTTCTGCTCTACAGTGTTCACATGTGAATATAATCTATCTCAGATCAGCTCTTTTGGAGAATGAAATTATTCAATAATTAGCTCATAGTCAGTTGCATGTGTTGGAATGAACTTGTTGAACTTTTAGAGACTTCTGTTTTGATTGATTGATTTAATTACCTTGCAGGAAAGCACTTGGTTATAACAGAGGTCAATTAATATAGTGCTGTGGATAAATCCACACCTCCTGTGTAAACCCCCGCATCTCTTTTACTGATTATAGGGAGAAATTTATGATGTAGGTATTAATTATCCATCCCTCCCCTTTGCCATGTTCATTTGGTGGTTTTGCTAATACTTTTTGTGTATTCCTGTCTATTAACAGGTTTCTGAACTCAGCACAGCAGAGGTCTAAATTTATTGAATTTATGCCATCTGGAAATGAAGTTTAAATTTTGTTCTTTTGTTGAAATTAGGGATGTGACATCGCTGTCACACAGGAGTGTGAGCCTGAATTTGATTTTATTATACGGAGGTAGGACATTTTGTTCAAATGAGAGCACTTGCCTGAGCAGAGATTTGAGTGTGACTGAGTTGTTAACTGCCAACCCCACACTCTTTTTAGCAGGAGAAATATTTTGTTTTTAAATGAGATGACAATCAAGAGAACTATCAAGACCCAGCAAATTTTAAAAGAATCCTTTCAGTTTACTTGAGTTCTGTTTAACCTTGCTTTTGATGTCATTCTCTGCATTACTGTTAAAGGACTCAGCTTCCTTTGGAGTCCTGAATTGTTGCTGCCAGGGAATCATGATGGTGAAATAGAAGTGGTTCTCAGTTGGGGCACCTGGGTGGCTCAGTGGGTTAAATCCTCTACGTTCAGCTCAGGTCATGATCTCAGGGTTCTGGGATCGAGCCCCATATCGGGCTCTCTGCTCAGCAGGGAGCCTGCTTCCCCCTCTCTCTCTGCCTGCTTCTCTGACTCCTTGTGATCTCTGTCTCTGTCAAATAAATAAATAAAATCTTAAAAAAAAAAAAGTGGTTCTCAGTAAAGCCCTCACCCACACACAGCGATGCCTTATTACCTAAGTAAAAGCGTATGTGTGAGCTCCTCAAAATGTTGAGTGTAAGGGGAGGGTATATGATAATGGACACTAAGATGAGAGAAGTATTTCTCATGAATTAGAGATGCCCTTTGATAATTCAGCAGTCACAGGATGAAGAAAGGCTCAAAATCACCTGAAAAGCATCTGGAAGCAATCTGTAATTCTTAAGAGGCCGTAGAAGAGCCTGTATCTCTCCTGTACATGATGATAAAACTGTTCACATGGGATTATGGAGAAAATAGCATTCCATTCTTTGTAAAACCTCTTGTGATGAAATTGCCTGAGATGTGATTATGAATTTAACTGTGATGTCCCAGATGCTTAATAACTGATTAATTGATTAGAGTGAAGAAGGCAGATTTGAAGGTCCTGAAGAAAATTTTTTTTTGGAAAATGATTGTGCACCCCAGCTAATGGTGGGAGTGCATGGGGAGGGGCAGGAGAGGGAGTGAGAGAGTATCTTAAGCAGTCTTCACACCCAGCGTGGATCTCACGACCCTGAGATTATGACCCCAGCCCCAATTAAGAGTTGGATGCTCAACCACTGAGCCGATCAGGCACCCCAAATTTTTGGTATTTTTAAACAACAGAAATTCAACTGAATAAATTTGAAGATAAATTGGCCTTATTCAACTGATTTATGAATTGGGCAGGATCCCATCGCAATAGAAAGGAACTTCACAGAGTTGTTCAAGAAGAAGGGTTTTTAAAGGCAGAAAGTCGGTGGAAAAAGGAAATTATTAGCAAAGAATGCATTGTTTCAGGCAAGTTTGTCTTCCTAAGGGAGATGGAAGGGGTCTATTAGGTGGATTATCTTGGTGGTGCTCATTCAGCTAATTCCATGTTGACTGGCTAATGGTCACATTCCTGGGGGGATTGTGGCGGGTTGAAATGCAATTAGGTTAGGTATTAAGTCTTGGTTTGCTGACAGGATTTAGCACTAGTGACTCCATTTTGGACCTGCTATCTCCTTTTAAGGATATGAAGAATTGATTTATTTGCATGGAAAATGTTACCTTTTATTCTTTAGTCTCATACTCACTCTTCTTCTGCCTGGTCATTACCGCCACTGTGCCTGGTTTTAGAGGTTTAGGTCACACTGAGGTCTTCCTCCCAAGACACCCCCATTTTTTTTTCTGCTTTCTTGAAATATTTGTTACAAGAAAAGGTATTACCTTCTAAGCCTTTGAGGCACCTGTAGGTCAAACACACACAAAACCTCTGACAGTGACTTCTAGGAAACCATCTTTTAATATATTGGACTGTTGCAGAAAAATTATCGCATTCATGGGTGGTTCATCCTTGTTACACAGAGATTTTGAAAAGATCTATTTGTTATACTAGACTCTGACTTGAATTACTCACCTTAACCCATCTAAGTTGGGGAAATAGATTACCTAATACTTATAACTTGATTGAAACAAATTGTATCTTATTTCTTGCTTTGCATAAGTAGTTGTGATTATATATAATTACAACATTGTACTCTGCTTTTTCTTTATATGATAAATGGCATTTTCCATTTTATTATAAACTCATAAAAGTTTTTGATGGCTGACAAAATCATGGTTAAGTAAACTATGTTGTGTCAAATTTACTTAACTCTTCTCCAGTTATTGGGCATTTAAATGGTTTCCATGTTTTAAATATAAGTGTGTATGTGTGTGTGTGTGTATATATATATATATATATATATATATATATATATTCATTTTATTTTAATTCAAGTATAGCTATCATACAGTGTTATATTAGTTTCAGTTGTGCAATGATTTAATACTTCCATATAACACCTGATGCTCATCAGGACAAGTGCCCTCCTTAGTCCCCATTGGTGTGGTTTGAAGTGGTGTTGGGGCACCTGGTGGCTTAGTTGGTTCAGCATCTGACTATTGGTTTCCGCTCAGGTCATGATCTCAGGATTCTGGAATTGAGTCCTGCATGGGGTTCCATGCTCCGCAGGGAGTCTGCTTGAGGATTCCCTCCCTCTCCCTCTGCCCCTCCCCCTTCTCTCTCTCTCTAAAATAAGTAAATAAATCATTAAAAAAAAAAAAAGATGAAGTGGTGGGGTTCAGAGCCAACAGCCTTGAAAGAATTCTTGTGATGTTTTTGGTGCAAAAAAGTGGTTTTATTAAAGCACAGGGACAGGACTTTTTGCTTTTAATTTCCTTGATGATAAAGCTAAGTGCAGTCTGAGGAGAACCCACTCAGCAACCACAAATGGCAGTAAAGGGAGGGGAGACAAACTTGAGATTCCTAGATTGGGTTTCCTAGTTTATTAATGATAGCCGGACAATTTTTTAATTCTCTCTACAGATCTTGGAAGCCTTCTTCTGGGAGTTTCCAGCAGTGCCAAGTGTTGGAGAAATCTTTTCTGTCGCTCTGATACAGTGGAGAGAGCAAATACAGCTCAGCAGTAGGCTCCTGAAGAGAGCAATCACAGGTAATGTCTTATTACTATTGATAAGAATTTAGTAATGTTCAATAGCATGCGTTAAAAGAAGCCTACTTGAGCTCACATGTCCAAGTCAATATGATCTTGTTCAAAACCGTTCTTTTTTTGAGAGACTGTCCTCTACTCAAAACATTAAAATTTATTATTTCTTTGGAATAGCATCTTAATCCTCTGGTGGCATTCTCTGTGGTGGCAAATCTCAACCCTGTGGTGCCTGTTTGGGAAGTTGTCGAAACTCCTTTAGTGCTAAGGTGGTGAATCTGGGGGGGCTCTAATTTTGCTCAAAAGCCAGACAGTGCAGTGATATAATGAAAACAGTTTTCCTTTCTGTAATTTGTGTGTCTGAAGGCTTATACACTGTATTGAAAGCTGATTCTAAGAAGAGGTGATTCTAGGTTTCAAACAATGGCAATATTGTTAAAATAAGCAATATGTTTTTATAAGCTTACAGAGCAGCATGCGCTATTTATTTGACTATGTAAATGCTGGTATTCTTTCTTATTACAATCAATCAATCAATCTGTCAGCATTGTAGAAAGGGCTCCTGTATTGATGAGGTTAAATAAGATCTAAACTTCCTTATAAGGTATACCTCTGAGCCAGTGTAATTTGCATCTTACTTGTGGTGTGTTTTGCATTGTTACTCCAAGCATTATTAGAGTGTTTGTTAAAAATGCACATTAAAAATTCAAATTATTAGGTCCCAATCTAGTATGTCAGAACCAGAATGGAAGTGGGAAGGGTTTGGGAATCTGCATGTTACAGGAGCTGTCAATGATTGACACTCCCAAGGTAGTAAATTCATATTTCTGTCTCATCTTTGTGTTTTTTTTATGTAAAGGTGTTACTTAGTTATTTCTTTGATTTTTGCTTTGAATAAAACAGCACAGGACTATGTTCTCAAGTAGCTTATTATTTGATCAAATTGAGAATGTAATTGAATAAAAATGTACTTTGAACTCTATGTCTAAATTCAGAATGGATATATTTTTTCCTTAGATGCTAATGGATAAATCTGATTTTGACATCTAGATGCCAAACACTAAATTTCATGAAATATCTGCTCTTTCAATTTGCTAATAGGTTGTATCTCAGGTCTCTTATTCAATTGTGGATGGTCAAGAGCAGTGGGGAAGCATTGGAGGCCCCTGGTCTGTGCTACGCTCACTTAGCATTCAGCCCAGTGTTTTTTTTTTTTTTTTTAAAGATTTATTTAATTTTTATTTTAGAGAGAGCGCACATGTGCAAGGGAGTGGTGGGGGAGGGGCAGAGGGAGAGAGAGAGAGAGAATCTCAAGCAGACTGCCTGCCGAGCACAGAGCCCGATGCAGGGCTCTATCCCAGAGCCCTCAGTTCACGACCTGAACTGCAGTTAAGAGACAGGAGCCCAACTGACTGAGCCAGCCACCCAGGGGCCCCAGCCCAGCATTTTTCAGTAAACATTGTGAGGGAAGTTTTGCTGTGTGATTCATGGCTCAAACAGAAAAAACATAGTGTCCTGAGATTTTGTGAAGCTCTTTGAACCCCTCAAACGAAAGGGAGTATTAAAATGAAATGAAATAGTGGCCTTTGATACGAAGTTATTTTCATTACCATGTACATTCTTTAGTAATTATTCCTATAAATTTATTAATTTTAGGGAATGCACACCTTGTGTATAAAGTGTTATTTTTTAGATATTTTCAAGGGCACAGATTATACCTTTACTTAAAAGATATGTACAACTATAGCATTCTGTGCATGTTAATATTGAGACATAATTACTTTATCTAAAATAAAAATGTGTCTATAGTTCCCTAAATAAAGGCTATTACCTTGAGATGCTTCTTTCTTCAAATATTTATTAGTATGAAGTATTCCATTAAGTTTATACCTTAAAATTGTGTTAAAACGTACCATGTAAAATTTATCATTTTTACCATTTTTAAATGTATATAGTTCAGTATTATCAGGTATATTCACATTGTTGTGCAACCAATTTCCAGAATGTTTTCATCTTCCAAAACTGAAGCTATATTGAACAACAAATCTCTGTCTCCCTTCCCTCAGTCCCTGGCAACCACCATTCTACTTTCTGGCTTTATGAATTTAACTGTTCTAGATCACTCATGTGTGTGGTCTCATATAGTATTTGTCTTTTTGTTAGTGGCTTGTTTCACTTAGAATAGCATTCGTCCATGTTGTAGCATGTGTCAGAATTTCCTTACTTTTTAAGGCTGAATACTGTTCCACCATATTTTGTTTATCCTTTCATCAATTATTGGACTTTTGTGTTCCTTCCCCTTTTGGCTGTGGCAAATAATGCTGCTTGTACATAATAAATATGGTATATAAATATGTTTGAGTCCCTGCTTTCAGTTATTTTGGCTGTATGTATCTAGAAGTGGAATTGCTGGATCAAATGGTACTTCCATGTTTGATTTTTGGAAGCCCTGTTTTCCACAGCAGCTACATCATTTTACATGCCCACCAGTAGTATCCAAGAGTTCTAGTTTCTCCTCATCCTCACTGAAACTGGGCTTTTGTTGTTCTTTTGTTTGGTTGTTTCTTGACAGCAGCCATCCTAATGGGTATGAGGTGGTATCTTGAGGTTTTGATTTTCATTTCCTTAATGATAAGTGATGTTAAAGATTTTTCATATGCTTGTTGGTCATTTGTGTACCATTTTGGGAGAAATATTTAGTCAAGTCCTTTGTGCATTTTTTAATTGGGTCATTTGTCTTTTTGTTGTTGATTTGTAGGTTTTTCTCTCTCACATATTCTGATGTTCACCATTTATCAGATATAGGGCTTGCATGTGTGTAGGTATATGCATATATGTGTATATATATGTGTATGTATATATATACATATATACATATATATGTGTGTGTGTGTGTGCGTGTGTGTGTATAATCTCCCTTTGGTGGGCCGCCTTTTTGCTCTGTCCTTTGATGCACAGAAGTATTAAATTTTGATGTAGTTCAGTATGTCTCTTTTCACTTTTGTTGCCTGAGCAAATCAACGTCATGAAGCTTTCCCCCCATGGTTTCTTCTAAGAGTTTTATAGTTTTAGCTGTTATTTTAGGTCTTTGATCCATTTGGAGTTAATTTTTGTATATGGTGTAAAGTAAGGGTCCAACTTCATTCCTTTTTGTGTGAGTATCTGGTTTTACCAACACTCTTTGTGGAAGCAAAGTTTATGCTTTTTTTTTTTTTAAAATATTTTATTTATTTACTTGAGAGAGAGTGCATGAGCTGGGGGTGAGGGTGGGGGGATGGAGAAGCAGACTTCCTGCTGAACAGGAAGCCCCACATGGGGCTTGATCCCTGGACCTGAGCCAAAGGCAGACACTTAACCAACTGAGCCGCCCAGGTGCCCAGCAAAGTTTATACTTTAAAAGACAGTTTAGGTTAAGGAAAAGAAAAGCAGATCATAAATGGCTGTGTTTTATCTATGTAGGAATTTCCAGAAAGTCCTCTGTAAATAAGAAGATACTTCAGAAACAATAGGGCATTGCATAGACTTGAAGCCCACTTTAAGACTTAAGTAAATGTAGGTTGGCATAGAACCTGTGTTTAAATTTTATGCTTGTTAATTGGTGGACAGTGACTTCTTATATTTGGGCTTTGGTTATGGTAAACTCTGAGTTTTGGTTTTTAGGTATGGGTGTGTATGTGTGTCTGTGACCTGTTACGGGTTTTTTTTTTTTTTTTTCCAGTTAACTCTGGCCAATGAAGGATCCTCTAATGTTTTAGGGAGCTTTAGTTTCAACTAAACATAAAAGAATCAACCTTTTCATGGTAAAGAATAACCAGTAATGAGTCCTGGGGAAAACCTTCAGCCAGCTCAAACCATTCACCTGTCTGTGTAGCAGAAGTTATTTGGAACCTATTTTTGCCTCTTAGCTGTAAAAAGCAGTATGTGTGTTGACAGAACGATATTTACACTGGTTTTGAAAAGGTCAAAACCCAGATATTGTACCATTAGAAGTGAGGTTATTTTTGGGAAATGAGGAGGGTATTGGACGCTGAGTGGGAAGAATATAAAAGCAAATATATGTGACTGAGAGGACAGCCTGGGCAAGGTACTTAGAAGGTAGAGGGAGCAGCTTAGGTGGGTGTAGGAGTCCCATGGAAAATGAAAGGATTGAACACTTTAGGTGTATTACTTTCTTTGGAGGAAATGATAGCAGATACTAAAGGTAGCACAGCAAGTACCATAAATGGAAAATGGATTTGAAAGGAGTTGGGAGGCAATATGAAATAAAATGAGTCTGATGGTCCTGAGGAGATGCTGTCAGGGGAATTCATCTGGGTACGGGTTTTGGACATGTTCTTGGAACGGCGAGACAAATAGCAGGTAGATAGAGGCAATTACAGGTATCCTGAGCTGTTGAGAGAATTGCATATTTGAATATAGTATTTCAGGGTTAAGGCTTGTCTACATGAGAAAAGAGTAGCAGTTAGAACAGCACTAGAATGCTGTCTTTCTGCAGTAATACTGGATATCTGAGTCATGCAGGATTGGGGCGGTGAGTGAGGAATGTTTCTCTGTGGCTCCCAAGGCTCTATGCAGGACCAGTGGGAAACCATTTTCAAAAGTGGTTTTGAATTAAAAAAAAAAAAAAAAAATCTAGCCTCAAGACCAGTTTGGGACTAGATTTCCTGAGTTGACTAAAATAGAAAGATACTCAAGATGACATCTTAAAAGACAAATAAATTAGAAAGACAAATAATTAAACCAGCTCTTGAATGTTATTCTGAAATTTGTTCATTCTGCATGTACCTTTTCCTAATTTATAGATTTTACCATCAGGAACTATTTTTACCTTCTTTTGTGAATTTGGTCTTTTTCTTTATTCAGCTGGTTTTGTTTCTTAACATGTTCCCTGACCCTTGTAATTTCATCCTAGCTTAGTCTGGATCTTTTCCAGCTCTGTATGTGTCTTCCAATTTACCAGAATGGCTTAGAATAAATGTATGTAATTTATGTTTGGTCATGTTTTC